TGATGTTGTCCGTATCATCATGATGCTGTCGAACTCATCAGGACGTCGCCCTGCCTTTTTTCTGCTAAATACGTAATACGGAATCGTTCGTGGCTGGTGTACCAGCATCATCCTGTTAACATTATCGTTTTGCTGATGGACTCACTAGGACATTGTTTGTGCGTCTATGTAACGCACTATGCTGAGTAATTGTGATATTTTCGTGATGTTATTAAAATCATTAAGATGTTGTTAATATTATCGTTATGCCGTGGGAGCCATTATGATGCTGCGTCATGGTTCGTAGCCGTGGTGTGCCATCTGGGGTCTATGCTTTTCTATTTTTTGTTGATGAAGGTACTGTTTTGCGAGCTTAATGGCCGGGTGCTAGGAGATGCAATTTGGAGTGCTGGTGGAGGTGCTGTTTTGCGAGATTGACGGTCGGGTGTTATTGCTGATGGAGGTGGTGTTTTGCGAGCTTGACGATCGGGTCCTAGCGGCAGCTGGTGGGGGTATTGTTTTGCGAGTTTTGCTGCCGGGTGCTAGGGAATGCAATTTGTGGTGTTAGTCGGGGTGCTGTTTGGCGAGATTGACGGTTGAGTGCTAGGGGGCGTGTAATTTGGGGTGTTGGTAGAGGTCCGGTTTTGTGAGATTAATGGCCGAGTAAACGGCTGCGCTAGTTAGGGTTTTGCGCTAATTTTGCGAGATTGACGTGCTAGGGGGCATGCAATTTGGGAGACGATGGCCGAGCGTTAGGGGGCATGTAGTTATGGGTGTTGCTTTGCGAGCTTGACGGTAGAGGTACTGTTGTGCGAAATTGATGGACGAATATTGGGGGCATATAATTTAGGGCGCTAGTGGAGATGTTATCTTGCGAGATCGACGGTCAGATGCTAGAAGTATGTAGTTTAGAGTGCTGCTGGAGGCGACGGTTAATTAGGCGGTAGGGGGTATGCAATTTGCGGTGCTGGTGGAGGTGCTGTTTGGTGCCTGTGCTATTAAAGCCGCTGATGGACAGAGGGTGCTCGGGACCATTCAATTTTAGTGGGTACACGTGCTGCTCTGGGGCGCTGTTTGATTGAAATGCTGGTGATGGCGTAAGCGCAGGTTTGCGAGATTGATGGTCGTATGCACTTTGGATTGCTGATGCAAGTGCCGTTTTGGGATAATTTGCAGTGTTGTTCCAAGATTGCCGGCGGGTACTAGTGATGCAATTTGGGGTGGTGGTAAAAGTGTTGTTTTTGGTTGCTGTTTAAGGTGTTGCTAACCGTGCGCGGGCGCTTGTTTCCCAGATGGGTTTCAATTTCTTATAAAGAAGGGGAATTGTTTTGTAAGATTGATGTCGGGGTGTGCGCTTTGGGGTACTGGCGTAAGTGCAGTTTTGAGGCGCTGTTCGGGCACGTGGCAATAGGGTGCTCGGGGATATACCCGGTGTTGGCGTGGGTGTTATGTGTGGTGTTGTTAAAATTGTTGTCTTGCGGTGTTGGTGACGGTGTAGACGCATATGGACGGCAGAGTGTAGGGCGGGCGTTGTTTGGGGTATCGTGGTTGTGGCATTATCTTAATGTTATTCATAATGTTAGAATGCTGGTAAAAAAAAAAAAACGATTTGGACGATGGTGCTCTATATATCGTGAAAAATGGTTCGTGGTTTATGATTGGTATATTATTTTAATATAGTTAATCGTGTTATAATATTGTTGTTATTGCGATGTTGTGTTATAATTCGTGGGTATAGTAGTGCTATGATGCTGTTAATATTAAGAGAATGCTGAATTTTATTGTGCTATCGTAAGATGATTTGTGATTATGGTATCATCATAATGTTGCCTTCTTAATTACCATGATGTTGTCCGCATTATTATGATGCTATCGAATTTATTAGGATGTCGTTTCTATGGATATTGCTGAATCGTTCGTGGCTAGTATATTAGCATGATATTATCTACATTGTTATTGCGTTGTTGAATTTATAAGGATATTGTTTGCACGTTTATTTAGTGCGCTATATTGAATGGCTGTGGCACCGTTTATGATGTTATCAACAATATTATGATGTTGTTAATATTAGCATGATGCCGCAAAAACTATTTTGATTTTGTATTATAATTCGTAGTCGTGGTATGCTATTTGGGATCCATATTGGGGTTATTTGGTTAAAAATTTAGAATAACTCTTCTAAATCGTATGTTTAACTAAAATTTCTAAAGAATATGTTTATATAACATTTCTAATTAATATTTCTGAATAATAATTCTAAATAACACTTCCGAACAAAATATTTAAGCGATATGTTTAATCGATATTTCTAAATAATATTTTTTTTAAATGAATGGTCGATACTCTATTTTTTTTAATATTTTGAAAATATATATAATATCATAGTGAGAATCAACATATTTAAAATATTAAATTTATATATATATATATATATATATTATATACAAAATATGCATCGCGCCATATCGAGAACGATTCGATCCACTTAATATATATAGAGAATTCATTTTGTACTTTGAAAATATGCAATGACACAAAAAACGATTCGATCTATCCGAAATGTATAGAGGATTCATTTTCTATTCCTTTTACATTTGCAAAATATATATCGTCCCACAATAAAAATAATTCGATTCACCCCAAAGAAGTAGAGGCTTTACTTTGCATTTTCAAAAGGTGCACCATGCCGTAGCGGGAGCGATTCGACCCACCCATAATATGTAGAGGATTCGCTTTGCGTTTGAAAACGTGCACAATGCTAGAGCAAAAACAATTCGACCCATACAAAATAAATAGAGAACTCAATCTATATTCATTTTGCATATACAAAATGTGCACCGCGCCACAATGAGAGCGATTCGATCCACCCAAGTGCATAGAGGGTTTATTTTGCACAATTCATGTATATAACACCATAATAAAAACGATTCGACCCTCCTAAAATACATAGACGATTTACTTTGCATTTGCAAAATACATATTATTCCATAATGAAAATGATTTGACCCATCCCAAATATATAGAAAATTCATTTTGCATTTTCAAAAAAAATACTATGCCGCAACGAGAACGATTCGACCTAAGCAAATTACATAGAGGAATCGCTTTGCATTTCAAAAAATACACTGCGCCACAGCGAGAACGACTCGACCCACCCAAAATGTTGCGCCTATTACAACATCGGCGCACAAGCTCGAAAATATTATGCCTATCAGAAAATATGCACAAAAGCTCTAAAATGCTATGCCTATCCTGAAAAATTCCAAAATATTTCATATATCTCACGAAAATCATGATATAACGAAATAGAAAATACTCAAAATATTGTATCTATGACGCAATTAGAATTCAATATTCTCGCACCATATTATAACGCCAGAATGATTTCAACCGATTTCTTTCAAATCTACAGTCGTGAAAACAAGCCGATTATACGATAGGTCCAACAAAAATGACACTCCAGCAAACATTTGCGCGAACATTCCAAACAAAATACCTCGAAACCTCACAAAACACTGCGCTTGCGCAACGAAACGACATATCAAGCTTAAGAAATTACGATTCGTGCACAAAATCAATAAAACCAATATATCATCTATTTCCCCATTTAAAAGGCATAATAAATGGTTACGAAAGATTATAGACGATTACACAATTTCCGGCGATCAAAATTTCACCACCAAAACCCATGATAAAATGAAAACCCCATATTATATATTCGAGAAAAAAAATATTTCTTATTCTATAAATTAAATATATATATTTTATATATATTTAAAACAAAACAAATTTAATATATAAATTAGATAAAAACCTTAAAATTTCTTTAAAACAAATAAATAATGAAATATATATATATATATATAATAAATATAATTTCCTATAAATAAATAAATATATATATCTCAAATTTATTAAATTCATATTTTAATATTTATATAATTAAATATATAAATACTAATTTTCTAAAATTGATAACACTAATAATATTATTTTTTAGTTTTTGAATTCCTAATTCAAAATCAATTAGAATAATATAATATTAATTATTCAATTTCCCTAATTCGAATTTTATAAATTCTTCTATATCCCTATATATAAAACTATTTATAAAAACATTATAATACCTTTATATAATAACTTTATATATTATAATAAATTAATTCCAAAAATAATATCATAATCCCCATTTTATCATTAATAACAATTTATAATTCCCTTTATATAAAAGACAACATCAAGAGAATAATATAATATATATGTATATATATATATATAATTATATATCAATATATGTCATTCAAATGATTCATATCCCTAAATTACTACGAAATATTATTCATAATGCATTTAAAATTATTCTTATTTGTTGTGATTCATTGTGATTTGAAATGTTCTGTGAGGCCATGCGATATCTTGCACGTGATGGTGTGCCACGTACAAGGCCGCGAATTTCTCGACTGT